TTCTTCGTGTGGAGTCCAGTCAAACCCTGATGGCAGCCATGTTTTTATTATTAGAGGTCGCTTACGTGTGTAATCATTCCATATTTGGAATTTGAATTTCCTAATATGTTAGGATGAAAGTACCCCGTAAAATACCGCAAAATTACAGCACGCTGTAACTTATAGTGTTACCGTGACAGATGTATAATAATTGTTATTATCAAATAATAACTACTGTGTTTTCCACCATCAAGGTCTATGAATACAAGGTCATTGCAAAGGTGTTGCAATGTATGCACAAGGGCACTACAGCGGTAGATATATTGAGTATCTACTGTTGTATAGCCAAGGTTAATGCGACCTTGTAGTGCCTCTATGTATGCTTTGTAATCTTTTCCTGATCCAACCGCTTGGTGTATGAAGCCAATTATATACGTCTATCTGTTCTACTGGACCTAAGCTAATGTTTCAAACTCGGGATCTTGTATCATATGATTTAAACATGTCAAAGATGGGACTACGTCATCTACGTCATGACGTTGTTTGTGTTAGCTTGTAAAACATTTGTAACGTATCACATATATATATTAATTATCTGTACATATGTTTTACAGATTATTTTATGTCTAACAGTTTACTTTGTAGTCTGAACTACCTATAAGCCTTGTTCCATAGTCTGCAATTCACATTAAGACATTTAAACAAATACTGTTTATAATTATTTCTGATCAAAACTCCAAATATTCCAAAAAACTCTGATTATGTGAGCATTAGTCATTCTGAATGGAACCAGTATGAAATTTTAACGGCCTATGAACAAATCTTGTTTACGGTACATCATTAACAAAATATTTACATTAATCAGGTTCAACAAAAAAAAAAAGATTCCCTTTTACTGGAATAATGTTTAGTTTGTACTATTCCAGTGTGTGGTGGTAGTAACGCAGTAGCAATCCATTAAATATTTTTAGTTAACCGCCAAATTTGGTTAGCATGGATTATATTTGGCACTTGTAAAGATTGGTTGATTTACAGTGTCTTCACTGGATTCAGTTTTCATATTAGCTCCATATGAATCAAAGTGTAGTTGTTGTCAATTTCGTGTACCGGTAAACGATGTATTTAACACCAGGAAATTAACAAGAAATTTGAAAGTGTTTTTTTAGCATTGTATTTGATAAACTTTCAAAGAACAAAGGAACAGAGTGTACTAATACCTGCTAATACACTGTATACTTATTTATTTTTATGGGACCATATCAAACATGACATGTGTCAATCACAGCTATTCCACTAGATGATAGTGTTTGCTAGAATTATAAAAATTACAATTTTTCAAGAAATTGTTGAAAAAGTGAATTTGAGTCAGGTGACTGATATTTCAACAGACAGCTGCATGGAAATGTGAAGAATTTCATTGGATTTGGTATTCCAGTAATCAAGCTGGAACAAAAGTGCATAATGTTATGTATCAACATTTATTAATCTCAATGTATTCTAGACCTTACATGTGCTCTGTAGATGTACTGCATAGTAAATATGTGTATGAAAAAAACACTAGCATGGAGTGCAACACAGTCTTTTCTTGTGTTGAACACTGTTTAGCTAATTTTATTTACTTTTAATTTGGTTATATTACTGTTCCAAAAAAAACAACCCAACCAACAGTATTGCAATATAGCTCACTGTTCTGTGAACACAATAGTAATATTGATAGTTTAAATGTAACAGTTTGTAATGGTAAGCTGTATTGGTATTGGTATTTGTTACCAAAACAGTGAGCTATGTTGCAATACTGCTGGTTTAATGCTTCTTTGTGTCACAGTAAGGTTAACAAATCAGTGATGCATGTAGTTTATACTATTCAACTGATTGCCGCAAAATTAAAGTGGGGGAGTCGTCACCTGCGTATACGTCACATTGCCATAACGTGTAATTGTTTACAAACAAGTGTCTACCATACGCCTTTGCGTTTTTAGCATGCGTAATCGACGCTCAAAACTCGCGCGTTCGCAGGTGACAACCACTCATCTTTAAGAATGCCAATCATCGATGCATTTATAATAAGATACTGGTCGTATATAAGACTTGCATTTTCCTCTGGTGCATTACAGATCTGACCAAGAAATTCAGTCATCATATATTGGTTACATTTGTCTTAATGATTTGAGTTACAAGACGCATTGTGTACTTTATTAACATGCCGTGTCACAATAGAAGCCTGCTCACAAATGACAAGACCAGAAAAAATCCATTTTGCAATAAATTGTTCTTTCTGTTAATTTCTAGTTAATTATTGGTCGTATGTTGGTAACAGTTTTGTCATTATTGGAACTATGTTGCTATTGGTTCCAAAGGTGGACATTATTGTGCCATATACCAAATTGGGAACTGGTCACATAGGGTGTGAAACAGGCTATAGACGAATCACTTATTGTTATCCTGAGTTTTAAAATGAGAACTGTTATTTTCTTTAATATTGAGTTTTGTTGTATTATTCTTAAAATATCATTTTTTTGATCTTGATATTTTGCCAATTTTCCTGAAATATGATACTGTAGCTCTATGATTATACATAATATTTTAATAAACATTTTCATGTGATTCATGACCAACTTTGTGAAAAATGAGCAACTAGGCTTCTACCTTAATGTGATGTTAAAAAGATACTGTAACATTACTAGTAATTTCATCACTCAATGCCAAATGACTTTTAAAAGACTATAATGAATAATAAATCTCAATTTATTGCATCATTATTAAATGCTTTCTGTTTTATATGAGTGATTGTCTGTTAGCGTCCGTCGCCAGTGTCAATGTTTCACTTTTTCGACTTCTTCTTGAAAACTACAAGCCTAAATGCTTTGATACTTGGTGTATATGGGATGATATCTTCAGTTCTCTAATTTTGATGAATATTTTTGGTAAAAAGTTACATTTTCGACTTCTTTTTAAAAACCACAAGTCTCGTTGCTTTGATATTGCATATATATATATAGGTACGACATGTGGACCTCTCTCAGATTTGTTCATTTCGTGATAATCTCTTCAATTATCGATTAGTCCCTCAGGCTGATCTGTCGCATGTCGATTAGTTCCATAGGTTAATTTGTCACATGTGGATTAGTTCCATAGGTTGATGTGTCACATGTGGATTAGTCCCGTTGCTTGATTTGTCACATGTCTGTTAGTCCCATTGGTTGATTTGTCACATGTCGGTTAGTCCCATTGGTTGATTTGTCACATGTCGATTAGTCCCACAGGTTGATTTGTCATATGTCAATTAGTCCCATAGGTTGATTTGTTACATGTCGATTAGTCCCACAGGTTGATTTGTCATATGTCAATTAGTCCCTCAGGCTGATTTGTCACATGTCGATTAGACCCATAGGTTGATTTGTCACATGTTAATTTATCACATGTCGATTAGTCCCATTGGTTGATTTGTTACATGTCAATTATTCCCTCAGCTTGATTTTTCACATGTCGATTAGTCTCACAGGTTGATTTGTCACATGTCGAGTAGACCCTCAGGTTGATTTGTCACATGTCGATTTGTCCCTCGGGTTGATTTTTCACATGTTGATTAGTCTCACAGGTTGATTTGTCACATATCGATTAGTCCCTAAGGCTGATTTGTCACATGTCGATTAGTCCCATTGCTTGATTTGTCACATGTCGATTAGTCCCATAGGCTGATTTGTCACATGTCAATTAGTCCCACAGGCTGATTTGTCACATATCGATTAGTCCCTCAGGCTGATTTGTCACATGTCGATTAGTCCGTCAGGCTGATTTGTCACATGTCGATTAGTCCCTCAGGCTGATTTGTCACATGTCGATTAGTTTCATAGGTTCATTTGTCACATGTTGATTAGTCCCACAAGTTGAATTGTCACATGTCGATTAGTGCCACAGGCTGATTTACCACATCTCGATTAGTCCCCCACTTGTTGAAGTGTCGCATGTCGACTAGTCCCACAGGT